CACACACACACACACACACACACACACACACACACACACAAACAGTTTTGCAACACATTAGTAGTGCAACTAAATGATGTGTCTGTCATGTGTTATTTGTGCTGACTGTGGTTGTTTTCCACTGCTTGGCATACTTAAAGAAACAGTTTCCATTTGAAAGAACAGAGTGATGTCAGCAGTGGATGTTTGGCTTTACTGGCAGTTATGGAGGGCAGGCACTGGCGCCTTTACATATACCGTCCGCACTGTGTTGACCCAGCGGCCTCCTGCCCCGCTGCCTTCAGTGCACAGGAAAGTCAGTTTCCTGTTTTTCTGCCCCATCAGTTTGGAGAACAAAAGTACAATACTGGATTGACACAGGAGCATGATCAGCAGCCAGCACAAGTCCGTCCTGCACACCATCCAGTTATATATTGTCACATTTACACAGTAATGAAGATAAGGATGCTTCACGTCAGTACATCCTATTAACAGACGTCACAGTCAGTACTAACCCAAGTTAGTCCAGCACAGATAGCTGTAAACATACTGTGTGATACTATTAATAAACTAAGACATGCAGAATAAGGTAATGGTTTGAACTGAATGGACAGTGAAATGGTTTCCAAATAGATATGTCAGTGAGATTTATGCTACGTTTTTACAAAGGTCCCAGATGAAACTAAGAGGCAACGATGAAACTGTGAGGCGAAAATAAGATCATCTTGTAAAGAAAGAACATCTTGTAAAATCGGTGAGCTCCAGAACCAGAAGAGGTGAGACTGTGCAGCACAGAGAGAGCAAGAAAGCCAGGCGCCTTTTACATCCCACCATTGTCCAGCTTCCTAAGGGCTCCAGAACCAGGGCTTCCTCAGGACACAGGGACAAGGTTAACAAAAACAGCACACACACACACACACACACACACACACACACACACACACACACACACACACACACACACACACACACACATCATTTCACAGCACATAAGCTGACAGAGCAATGAGTTCACCACCTTACAATCTGTACCAAATACTAAAAGTAGTATTAGGAGTTCATCAAGATTAAATGCACTGTGATTAATCAGTTGCAACTTAAATTTGCAAGTGTTTTAAATGAGGGGTGTAGAACTCATTTTACATCCTGGGCCACCCGTGTGTACAGCCAGACCAGTGAAAGTGCCCTTTCTGTCATTGAGAAGAAATAAAATATTGAATCCATGAGATGTTTCTCCACTTTTTCTACATGATAAGGAAACGCTGTTGTAGTAACGTCTTGATGTTTCCCCAAATCTTATAAACAGTACATTTGCATAATGACTGAAACCAGCCCAGTGAAGGAACAATGGGCTGGGAAGGTCAGTTCCTTAATCATAATTATGCAAATTCTCATGACCATTGATCAACAACCACTGACCAAAGACCACTGATCAATGGCCATGAGTACCATTCACAGAGAGTTGGGGAATGGCTGCAATCACAGCATTGTAAAATGGCAAAAGATGTACCCTTAGGCCCCCTCCTCGATTCAGAGACGGTCTTTCCCTTTTCACGTAAATGGCCTCCTTGACTCCACGCTCAAACCAGCGTTCCTCCCTGTCAGGATGTGTACATCCTCATCATTGAAAGAGTGTCCACTGGCCTGTAGGTGTAAATAGACTGCAGAGTCCTGGCCTGACGAGGTAGCTCTTCTGTGTTGTGCCATCCGCTTCGCCAGAGGTTGTTTGGTTTCCCCGATGTATAAATCCTGGCAATCCTCCTGGCACTTAACAGCGTACACTATGTTACCCTGTTTGTGTCGGGGGACCCGATCCTTGGGGTGGACCAATTTTTGGCGCAGCGTGTTTTGGGGTTTAACATCCACAGAGACCTGATGTTTAGAAAAAATGCGTCTCAACTGCTCCGATACTCCTGACACATATGGGATCACTACAGGTTTTCGCTTGGGCAGCGATTGTCCTTCTCTCCTGGATCAGCTGGAGCTTTCTTTAGGTGCCTTTCCCACTTTGACAAAAGTCCAGCTGTTGTAGTAAATGAAAGAAATGTATCCGCACGACTCTGTGGGCTGTAAGGAATAACAGAAAAAGTTCTGGTAGCTCCATTGCCCAGACTGTGCTGTAGGGTAGACCTGGGATTGGTTGTCACGTTGGTTGTTACTGCCACATTAGAGGGCACTATGGAATTCTGTGGATGTCACACTTGTAACCTGACCTTCTGTCCAATATGCAGTGTTCAGTTTGTGGAAAACTCACAAAACTTTAAAGAGGAAGTTAGAGAAATTTTTCCTGTTGTTTTTGAAAGCTCACATAAACAGACACTTATTAAAAAGCTGAAGGGAATATCTTTGAATTGAATCAAATGTCCAGTAGCAAGAGGTCAGCTGGAGATTGTCTCACTTGTCCTGGGCTTGGTTTTCACACATGTGACAACCAAGTCTCTGAGGAGAAATGTTCTTGCAGCTAAGCATGTAAAGGTTTTTGTTTTGTTTTGTTATTTGTTTCCGTGTTGGTACAATGGCTTTTGTTGAGCCATACTTCAATAACCAGCCCAAGGAATATGGCTTCAGTGTATTGTCTTCCACAACTGGTCTTGCAAAGATTGTACTGCTGGAAGTCCAGGGGTATACAGAGTCATGACTCTGAGGCACAGGGGTGCTAGATGAATCCTAGTAAAATGACATGAAGATCCCAAAAAATATCGACTTTTAATTTTTCTGAAAACAAAGCTTTTAAATTATATAAGTTATAGTGATAACTACAGGGACAAACAACCCTACACCATGTGAGAAATTATTCCACTATCGGGATGGTTGTCACAAAGTATCAGTATCATTAATGTTTAGTTTTTGTTAAAATTAATTGCAAAATAGAAAACTGTAAAAACAAAACGAACACACACACACACACACACACACACACACACACAAAAGACATTTCTATAACTTTTAATCTCGTGGCAGAACTAGCTAATGCCTTTTAAGGCAATTGCTGTGAGGTTGAAAGCAGGTGAATTCATGAGATGTTTCAATACATATTAACAGGTGAAAACCGTGGAAACAAATCCGTCCACAGTTTCTAAATTACCATGGCCTTAGCAGCAGGTTCACCGTAAATAATCCAATTAATTTATTTGCTTACGTCGATTTTCCAGAAGAGGGCGGTGTCATATCAGTTTTAGCAACAAGCCCAGCCCAGCACTGCTAAAACAACAAAGTAGTTTTATGAACGCTCTCGACCTTCTCTAAATAATTTTGTTTTAAATATTACATGCATCTCTTAAAAAGTGACAAATGTGTTCCGGCCCAGTTTCAATTCAAGATGGCTTTGCAAATGAATCTAAAATTCTCATCTTTCTGTCAGTCTTCCTTTGCTTTGGAAATCGACTTAAAAGGAAGGACTCGTGAACACGTATCACTTATTGCAGAGTGATGTAGGGTATAGTATCCCCAGAGCGCTCACAGCAGCCCAGAGTGACGTCGTTAACCTAGGATAGAAAAAAGAGCGCAGTCAAGTTGGGCTCAGAAACCCGGAGCAGTACCGGAAATGACTTTACTCTACTTTCATAAAAAATCAGTTTTGAGTAACCATAAAGCTTGAGCTTTCAGAAATCGTCAGTGACACTTTCATTTATATATGTAAATATTACAAAAAAAAATTTTTGTAATACTAAAGTATTACTTCTTTTTTATGTGGGCTTAACATTT